ACAACACAGCCCACCAACCAAACTTATGTTTACAACACAGCCCACCTACCAAACTTATGTTTACAACACAGCCCACCAACCAAACTTATGTTTACAACACAGCCCACCATCTACACGTTATTTTACAACACGTATGTACCTATAGATCATGTGATTTCTGTTCCCCTGCCTGGATTGGATAGATACTGATTAGCTCCAATGTTATCATAAACACACACACACAAATTGATAGGGATAAATGAGTCAATAAAGAAAAAAAGCAACAGCAACTTTATGGGAATAGTATTTCTAGTAAAGATGTTAAACGATAATCGAATTTACTATTTTGGTTTTGAAACCTATAAATTTGTTAATTTTTTGCAAAACTGTAATCAAATACCCGATACTTTAAAATATATTTTTATTTAAAAAAACAGACTCAATAATTTTTAGTGTTCTCCAATCTATCTGATTAGACGTGAAGATAAACCTACTCTTAACAAGGCAGATCTATCAAAGATGTACTAGCTTCACTGAACACGCAGGGCATCGCCGGGTCATCGCCGGGTCTGGTTCAGTTGACATTAAGAAATTAGCCGGTCCGCAGTTGTGCAAGCTACACCTTCCTTCACCTGGCTGCCCTAGTTCCAAGGTTATCACTATTCAAACCCAATCACCGCCTTACAAATGGCTTCACGTCCGGAATAGAGCTAGAACTGGACACTAAACAACCCCCCCCCCCACCCTCTTACTCCCCCGCCCGACACCCACACACACACACACACTTTTTAACCGTTTCCCCGTGAGGATGTTTGCGGTGCGTGCTAGAACCAATACTCTCGAACCAATATCTCACGGCAGTAAACTCTTCCTGTCAGACCCTGACGGATACATCATCCCGGCAGTAAACACGACGGTCGGAGACTATAAACCATCTCCCACTAAGTGGTCAAGAACTCGTGACCACCAATTACGGTAGAGTCACACTCACGTGCCTGGTAGGCTATAGTATTTTTGATGCATAAAATGTTAACCTGTAGTATTGTTAACCTATGGTATTGTTAACCTATGGTACTGTTAACCTATGGTACTGTTAACCTATGGTACTGTTAACCTATGGTACTGTTAACCTATATTACCGTTAACCTATGGTATTGTTAACCTGAAGTGCTGTGAACCCATAGCACTAACACTGGAATATACAATGACAAAGTGATCAACTTGCTTTGACTAAATTACTCCAATAAGCAGGTCTTTCCGCGCACGGCTTTATTTAAATCAGTGGTTCTCAAAGTGGGGGGTGGGGGTGGGTGGGATTCCCGGAAAAAAAGGGAGGGGGAGGGTGGCGGTTAGATCCTCAGTAGATTTTGCGAGGCGCTGAAACGTCATAAGGGAATGGCTCCAGATTAATTCGGCAGACCTTTCTTAAAATTAAATTATATAAAATTTCAAGAAAAAAAATTCATTTAAGATTATATAATCATTAACGGCCACTCTTTTTTTGTATTCTCTCTCATTTTTAAGTAGGATACATGTATAGATGTGTTATGTAAACTTTATTTATACTTATATGAATGTTTTTGTTTGATTTTTTGTTCTTCGTTGTACTGATGAAGGCATTTGCCGAAGCGTTTTCGTTGCTATTCTGTATCATCATTTTGAAAGCTGAACGTATGTTATTTCGTTTACACATAATCATTGTCTCATTAATCTACTCGAAAGCTTTATCGCATTCCAACACTCTTATAATTAGGTGATTGAAAAAAGAAGCCTGAATAAACATCAGTCAATCAGAACAAAAGTGATGAACAAACATCAGTCAAATAGTAAACCTAGCGATTGACAACAAGAAATGTTGACTTAATAAAAATCAATATAATGTACTCAAGTATTCAATGTACTTTTGAAAGAGGAATGCCGACGTATTTATGTAGACATTCACCGGGAGCAGAAATAATGGTTTAAATCGTATCGATTATTGACATATTAATGATTTTTGTTCATGTTAGTATATTTTTTTAATTCAAAGATGGCAAAGAATCTGGTAATATAGAAGGGAAAGAACCTGGTAATAGAGAAGGCAAAGAACGTGGTTATATAGAAGGCAAAGAACCTGGTAATATAGAGGGCAAAGAACCTGGTTATAGAGAAGGTAAAGAACCTGGTAATATAGAAGGCAAAGAACCTGGTTATATAGAAGGCAAAGAATCTGGTAATAGAGAAGGCAAAGAACCTGGTAATAGAGAAGGCAAAGAACCTGGTAATAGAGAAGGCAAAGAACCTGGTAATAGAGAAGGTAAGGAACCTGGTAATAGAGAAGGCAAAGAACCTGGTAATATAGAAGGCAAAGAACCTGGTAATATAGAAGGCAAAGAACCTGGTTATATAGAAGGCAAAGAATCTGGTAATAGAGAAGGCAAAGAATCTGGTAATAGAGAAGGCAAAGAACCTGGTAATAGAGAAGGCAAAGAACCTGGTAATAGAGAAGGCAAAGAACCTGGTAATATAGAAGGCAAAGAACATGGTAATAGAGAAGGCAAAGAACCTGGTTATATAGAAGGCAAAGAACCTGGTAATATAGAAGGCAAAGAACCTGGTTATAGAGAAGGTAAAGAACCTGGTAATATAGAAGGGAAAGAACGTGATTCTATAGAAGGCAAAGAACCTGGTTATATAGAAGGCAAAGAACCTGGTAATATAGAAGGCAAAGAACCTGGTAATAAAGATGGCAAAGAACCTGGTAGTGTAGAAGGCAAAGAACTTGCTTAAAATTGCTTTTTTCTTCTTTGGACAAGTTAAGAAATTAATTTGCAATTTCTTTAATTAAGATTAAAATATGAAAATCAGGTTTCATTATCCTATGTGTTCTTTAAACTTAAGTAGGACACAATATTACCCCCCACCCCCCAAAAAAAAAAATCACAACCTTTATCCCCTTCTTGTTCATTTATCTCTCAACCTTTGATCTCTCCCCTACTGTATATAACATTGACTGGAACTTTTCCACCATAAAACTCTATTACTGATGTTATTTTATAACTCTCTTCCTCTCAAGACTTCACAATTTATCGCATGGATATATTCAATCGATGTCTCAATGGCGTACATATGTAAATGTCAGATGGCTCAATGGCGTACATATGTAAATGTCAGATGGCTCAATGGCGTACATATGTAAATGTCAGATGGCTCAATGGCGTACATATGCAAATGTCAGATGGCTCAATGGCGTACATATGTAAATGTCAGATGGCTCAATGGCGTACATGTGCAAATGTCAGATGGCTCAATGGCGTACATATGTAAATGTCAGATGGCTCAATGGCGTACATATGTAAATGTCAGATGGCTCAATGGCGTACATATGTAAATGTCAGATGGCTCAATGGCGTACATATGTAAATGTCAGATGGCTCAATGGCGTACATATGCAAATGTCAGATGGCTCAATGGCGTACAT